CCTGCTCCACTTTCCATTCCTTCCTCGGGGTCTCACACATTCTCTTGTTTTTCTTGCATCATAAAAAGAGCAGCTTGGGACTTACATTGGTTCTCATTCCAGAAAAGCTGCTGTCTTTTAACGGACAACTTGCCTTGCCAAGTGTCAATGTCCATCTTTCAGTATCTCCTTAAGGAATCACTTAAAGCATCCAGAGGCAGGAGCTATAGTTCTGCTTCCTTCTGGGCAACTCTAGAAATGAAGGCACTTAAGCTGGCTATAGAATTTGAACAGATTCATACCTTCAGTTGCCACTGACCAAAAATGCAGCTTTCTGTGCATGTTTTTGCAGATATTTTTATAAAAGATGAAAGTGCTTGATTAACTTTTAGATGGAAAATTATTCTATTAGCACTCATGCATCATACTATCATATATATTAAGGAGAGTGAATCCAATATCTCGAATAGACTCTGGTTCAGGACCTAACTTTACTAATTAGTAGTAAAATTCTGCATTCAAAATATTATACAATTACTCAAAATTCTAGATTTGTGTTGTCCAGAAACAAGCAAGTTCTATAGCTATTGTCAACTAACATTTCTAGATAATTTTAATCAAAGAGAAATTTTGGCAGGGAAATATTACATTTAAAAAATTATTCTAATGATTTTTGGGGCTGGAGAGATAGCACAGCGGGTAGGGCGTTTGCCTTGCACGCGGCCAACCCGGGTTCGATTCCCAGCATCCCAGATGGTCCCCTGAGCACCGCCAGGAGTGACTCCTGTGCATCACCAGGTGTGACCCAAAAAGAAAAAAAAATTATTCTAATGATTTTTAAAGTAGAGAAAAAGTATGTACACTTTTTTTTATTAGCTTCAGAATTAAAGGTCTTTTCTATGAAACACCATAATGTTCTAGTTTTGTCATTTGGGTAGTCTTGGAAAAAACAGGGTGTGGTGGAGACCTAGACAAAGATAGTACAAAGGAAGGTACAAACACTCAGGACCCTTGATCCATCCAACATCCTGGGGTGGAGAAGATGTGTGCAGAAGGTGAGTGCAGGAACAGAGTTTAACGAGGCACAGAAATAGTGTTTGATGATAGTGTATGTGTGCGTGTGTGTGTGTGTGTGTGTGTGTGTGTGTGTGTGTGTGTGTGTAGGAATAGTGTATAACTAACTCCATTTTAGATTCCCAATGGAACAATGATAGCATGCTGAAGGGGATTTGGTTTAAAATAATCATCATTAATACTAAAGATCCTCTCTCAGACACTGGAGATCTGTCTCCTGAAGTCGTTCATCTGGTGAGGGTGCATGGTTTGCATGGTTCACATGTGAACAGGATTACCACGTCAGAGTGTTTGCTCCATCTCTCCATCCACAATGAGAAGCATTTCAGAACGTTATCATTGAAAGAATAGAAATGGGTGGATGTTTTGCTGATCCTTCATCTCACATATTTTTATCAAACAAATTCATCTGTTAAAGGACTCCACTGTTTTTTTTTCTTTTTTTTCTTTTTGGGTCACACCCGGTGATGCACAGGGTTTACTCCTGGCTTTGCGCTCAGGAATTACCCCTGGTGGTGCTCAGGGGACCATATGGGATGCTGGGAATTGAACCCAGGTCAGCCGCGTGCAAGGCAAACGCCCTACCCGCTGTGCTATTGCTCCAGCCCCGAAAGGACTCCATTGTTGATTAGTATGACCATCTTCTCTTGTAAACCCTTTACCCTACTAAAGGTAGGGTAAGTGCAGCACAATGGAAAAGGCCAAATCTCAGTGAGATCATAGGTTTGATCATTCAAGTTTGAAGGTGAAAATACCTGCCTCACCATAGTTACGAATACCCAAAGCAAGGTCAGAAAACAACTGGGGCTCATTGTCTGGGATGATCACTTTATGGAGCGTGCCCATCAGAAGTCAGCCTTCGGGCACTCAAAGACATTTGAAATTAGACCTGGGAATATTTATCTACAGGAACCTGAGCGCTGTTGTTGTTTAGTGAGTGGCCAAAAAGAACAAAAATGACAGATATTCTATTGCATGACAGTCAATGGGATTCTTCAAGAGTGTTAACAGTAGTTAGAAATTCGATATTCCCCACTTCATGTCCCACAAGCATGTACCACCTTTTACCATCAGGTGGTAAAAATTTGCCAGACCTAAATCATGCCTACCCTACAATGGATATTCTAGAGGCAGGGATATTAGATGAACCATGTGGTATGACATTGGGTTGCTTCTGAGTTTTAAGAGGTCCAGTACACCAGTCTGTTGTAGCGGTCTTCCATCAGTAAGAAGCTATACCAAGACAGATAACCACAGGTTGTGTTTAGGATGTGACCTTTTATCCACTGGCAAGAGTGTTGCCTTGCCAAGTTCCAGTTACCTGAGAACTATCATCCCCTCCTAGCTCTCATCAAAGGTTTTTCTTAATTTCATTCTCCATCTGATTGTCAGTCTTTCTTGTGGTCACCTGAATACTCTCTCTTAACATTGGTGTTGATCAGTTTGGAGCTTGTATAGCACACCGAGCATCAGAGGGGAGGACACCCCTCCTCTGAGGGAGAAAGAATAATTCTTCTTACTGGCAACTCCATCAGTCCTGTCCAAGCTGGCTCCCCACCAGCTATTCTGGCATAATCTGAGCTCTGAGAAGCCATAGGACCAGAAGGGTCACTAACTTGACACCAGGTTAACACCAGGTTTGTTTGCTGGTGGCTGACAAAGTTGCCTATGATGGTAGGATGCAATGGTGCTGGAGTACATTCAAGTGGATATAAAGGAGAACACTTGGATTCCAATGGAGAAGACATCCATTGTCTTATTTCAGATTTGTGGGTACTACTCTAATTCTCCAGTCTGAGTTCCCACAAGTCCCAGGCTCAGGAGAGCTTCCAAATTCCCCCCACCCCAATGGGGTACATTCTACCAAGAGCCAAAGTCCTGCTTATCTCAGCTCAGCTTGGGGACATTGGGAGGAGGAACAGCATGGAGGCCTACCAATCTGTTGGGTGTTACCAGGCTGTTTCAGAACAACAGTGGGAATAGTTGGGAAGTGGAGGGGGTGAGTGGGTTCCAGGCACCTGGAGCTGAGGGTGTAAAAGCAGAAGGGCACCAAGAAACCTGAAGGCATCCCCTTCTGTCCCCTTCTAGAGCAGCCCCAGGAAAGAGAAGGATACTTCTCACATACCCATTCCCTCCAAGAATACATGACCAGAGACACCCCAGACTGTTCACTTATGACCTCTCTTCTGTCTCCCAGTGGAACCAAGGGCTTCATACTTAACCCCTAGAATCCATAAGAATAAAATCATTTAAATTTGATTTTGCATTACAATTGGTCTTTCTACAAATATGCCTTTTGAAGTGAGGTTGGGGTTGGGGACAAAATAGAAGGAAGAGAGTGCCCTATATTGATTGATGACATGGGGTCATTCAGTCATGTTACAGATGATCAACTGATTGATAGATATTGATTCTATTCCATGCTGCCTTTCCTCTGCTTTCTTTCAGATATAATCACCCAGAAATTAGATGGAATAAAATGATTGTATTCCTTGCTACCTTTCCCTAAGGGTCCTTGACTCAAATCTACTTCCAGGAGGACGGTGGGAAAGACACTTGGGCACATGTAGAAGGCTGGCAGCCTTGGCCAGGGTCTTCTGGAAGAAGGGGATATAAGACCTTGCTCCCAGTTCCCAGATCCTGTCAGGAGATAAAGGGCATTTCCACTCTACCCCCAAGATGGGGAATAAAGGCTCAAGGTCCATCAGTTGAATGTAACACTCTTCCCCTCCAAGTCTGCATCCCAAATCAGGCAGGCTCTGACCCACTCTCCCTCCCCTCCTCCACCCCAACTTGAGAATGAGGTGACACACCGATGAAGAGGGACATGGAACACTTTTTAATGTCAAGTCAGAGACAACCCCTCCCCCCCCAGCCCCCAATCCCAGTTTCCCTCATCACATCCAGAACCCTTCCCCGAGGCCTCTCTGGTTTCCAGGCTTCGGGGGGTGGGAAAAAATGACCTAAAAACGGCATTTTTCTTCTCTTTCATACACACACACACACACATACACACACACACGAAGGTGAGAAATTAAATAAAAGAAACCAAGAGGTTTCCATTCTCCAGTGGTCCCAAAGGCAACAGATCCTCACTGGGCTAAAGCAAGTGGTGACAGAGTTGAGTTGGGTCAGTTGCTTGCCATAGGTTAATGCCCGAGGCCGAAGGAAGCTTTGACCTCCAAGTGCCACACCTGGCAGAGGTGCTGTGCCAGATATTAGTGGTGTCGATGTTGTTCTCTGAGAAATGTCTCTGACGTGTCAAGAACCCAAGAAAATCAAAAAAGAGCAGGAGCTGTTCACACAATTACCAGTAAACGCTATCATCGTTGAGATCCACACACAGCTAACGCCATATACAGCATGCAGTAATGTCGGAGAAAGGATCTGCTGAGAACAAAAACGGCTTAAACTCTAACCAAAGGGAAAAAAAATAGATGTGTGTATATGTATATATATACTGTAGAATATATGTCATCAACACAAGCCTCACTAACCAACTCAAGAAAACAGTGCGGTTCGCCCTTCCACTTCCAAACAGCATTTAGAAGCATAGCAGTGTCTGCGTTAGATGCCAAAATAAGGAGAAATCAGTAGCGCTGGTGGAGCTGTCGGTTCAACCGGATGTGGGTTTTGTTTTGTCTCATTTTGTGGTGGCTTTGCCATGTGGCTCACCGTGTGGTGACTGCCCAGTGTGTGGGCCACCGGTTGTAAACCTCGGAAAGAAACACACGACTCGTTTCTAACGTTGCACAAACATACTTCACCCCCTTCGTGTCGGCACGTCTTAGCTGTGTCTGGTTTTTGCACGAAGCACACTAGACTCATCTCAGAAAATATAATTAATAAAATTAATAAAGACTCAGAATCCCTTATTATCCATGATGTCCGTGTAGTAGTAAAATGGAGAGGGGGGCCAAGAAAGGTTCACCAGGTGGTCAGTGACTGGACGGCAGGGTGGGTGATCAGAGCTGACTTGTTGGCTTTCCATTGGCTTCCTGTCTGGGTTGAAATTTTGCGGTGTGTCACACGCACGATCATGGCACAGTCCCCAAGGGCTGGCCACGGTGCCACAGACCTGCTGGTCATGCTGGGTCCATCTCTCCTGACTGATCAAATTGGAGACAGCCAACTCCAGAATTTTCCTTGATGGGGGTTCTTGATGGGCAGTGTGGCAGAGCCCTGGCTCACTCTGACCACCAAGAATTTGCAACAGGCCACTAGCAGCTGGATACCCAGAGCCGGCTCCTGCTCTTCCCATTTGCAAAAAGGAAAATGAACCAACATATGGATCCTTAGAGATGGGCGGGACCCAGAAGCCGATTTTGAATTTCCTTTTGCAGTTGCCCCCACCCCGCCACGTCGGTTTTGTTCCCCTCCCTCGAATGTGTGCCCCATGAGGTTCTGCTTCTCAAAATCGCTTGTGGTTACGTCGGAGTTAGAAACGGGGTGTCTGGCTGCTGTGGTCGAAGCTGCTGGGTCTGTGGGGTGGTAGGCGCTGTGGCGGTAGCTTCTCCCGGCGTTGGGGGGGAAGGGATGCTCACGTCAAAACTTCAGCAGGAGGTGTAGCCCCAGAAGGGGTAGCAGCCAGATGCAGCCGGCCCTCCTCGACGTGCCGTTGTTCACCTCACTGACGGCTCCGGGGCCTGTGGAGAGAGGGCAGGGGTGAGGTGTGGCCGGGACGCTGGGCCTGGCCTCTAAGGATGAGGCACCCCTCCCCCACTCGGGCAGCTCAGCTGCTTCAGTTCCATACCTGGGACGACCTGAGGAAGGCAGCTTCTCAGCCCCCCTCCCCAAGATATTATTCCAGAGGACCCACAGCATGAGATCGGTGGGCCCCCAGTAGGACAGGGAGGAAGCCAGGGGGGGATGGCGGCCACTCTTGGAAGAAGGTTGAGAAATACTAGTCTAGAAGCTTCTGTCCCCGGGATGCAGACAGTCTGCTGGGAGGTCAAGGTGAAACGGCACCTGCTACCCCTTCTCTGTGCTGCCACCCATTACAGCCACACTCAGGGTCAAGTTCAAAGTGAAGGTGGGGGAGGAATGAATGGCAGCCTGAGTGTCTGCTTGCCCCACCTCGCCCTGGAGAGGTCTGTCCGCTCCGCCCTCCTCCCATCTCAGGGTTGAGCTCCAGCTGCAGCAGCAGAGTCTGTCCCTCCCTCTGCACGGCCACCACAGACAAGGCACAGCTGTCTGCAGGGCAGAGGTTGCCTACAGGAGTGGCCGTGGAAGCAAGTGCAGGAACAGAGAGCCTTTGAGGCTCAGGTGAGGCGGGAGAGGTGAGAGGAGGGTGAGGCAGGGTGCTGCCCTCATCACCTTCCAGCCTGCTGTGGTTGGGAGCTGCCACCGGGTGTCCCTCTCAGCCACCAGCCCGCCCAGCCTGCCCTCAGACACGCGTGCTGAGGCAGGCCCAGAATGCCAGGGGTCATACAATTTCCAGTATTTCCAGTTTTTCTGGAGCAGAGACCCTTCCATCTGCCTGCTTCAGCCATCCATGTCCCCAACATGTGAGGCTGCGTGCGATCCCTAAGCAGTGCCAAGTAGCTGGACTGCCCAGAGAAATAAGGAGGCTACAGGAGTAGGGATGGTGCTCAGACCCACCTGCTCTTGCACGCTCTGACATTCTGGCCCCAAATTCTCCTCCTTATGTTGGGGTTCTCTCCCATCCAGAGGCTCTGCCCCACCCACTTCTCTGCAAGCCCTAGAGATTCTGAACTCCAAGTCTCTGACCTGAGTCTAAGGTATGAAGGAGAGTCACAGCATCACCTGCCAGACCTGGGTGTGGTTGGGAGACTTGGCAGAGCCATCAGGGACCAAGGGCATGGCGACCCCAGGTGGGGTATACACCCCAAGCACAGTATTCCCTCTGCCATGCACACACCTTGCTGCATGGCTCCTGGTCAGCTCTTAATCTCTTGGAGTTCAGACCCTCCTGCTCCAGGGTACCCACTCCCTGTCCCTACACCCCAACCCTGCACATCCTCTGTCCAGAACCAGGTCCCTGCATGCAAATGTCTCCTGAATCTCCCCAATAGCGTGTGAGAGCTGGGATGGGGAGTTTTTTCGTTAAAGCAAGTGAGAGTCCCTAGGGAAGGGAAGGGAAGGGAGCAGGTATTCCAGGTAGTTGGTCCTACCGTGCCCAGACAGGACCCCAGGCAGATGGCCCTGCCATGTGTGGACAGGACCCTAGGCACACTGTGCACAGACAGAATGCCCTGTGGGAGAAGACTGCAAATTCCCTGGGGGGCTAGGAGCTCTGTGGGGTGATGGTGTCTGTGTGGGGTGCCCTCTGATGCATGCTCCTTCTCAGTGCTCACTGGGGGCTGCATTGTGGCTCTGTTTCATGCTGGAAAGTACCCGAGAGCCTGCAGGGCTGTGGCCTGACTACAGGGGCCTGAAAATTCTGTCCATGAAAGAAAGGAAAGATCACTGAGCATGCCTGGACCCTACTTGAGCCTGTGCATGTGTGCATGTGTGCCCACAAATATGTGTGTGCTTTTGTGCATATGTGTGCATGTTTGTGCACCAATCTTCACATACATAGGCATGTGGACATGTGTATGCATACACAAATGTGTGTACATGCATGTGTGCACAAATGTGTCTATGCGTGTGAACATGGTGTGTGTCCAAGTATGCATGCATGTGCATACATGTTTGTGTGCATGTGTGCTCATGTATGTGCTGTTACCACGCACCTGCGCTGAGCCTCCTTGCTGCCCAGTGCCATTTCAGATCAAGGGGCTGTGCCCCTGTGTGTTCGCAGCCCGCCCCCTCAGCCCTTCCTTCGTTCCCTTCACTTCCAACACTCCTTATTTTGGAGGCACATCTGGGAATCTTGATCAGGACAAGTGCATGTGTGGGCAGAACAATGGATTCCACACAGCCTCAGGAGAGAGGCGCCTGGCTCCTGCCACTTCCCATCACAGGACCTGCTGGGTTTGTGCCTTGGCCTGAGCCCTTCAGCTAATTTCTTATGCTAATTCGCGGGTGAAAGCATTACATTTGCAAAGATCATGCCATTAATCTCTTTGACATCTCTAACCTTTGCAAACTTTCTGGGGACAACACTCACCTACCAGTTGCTAATTTGCCTTTCACCCCTTAGCTGCCCTTCCTGTCTCATGGTCTTCATTTTCTTCAGTACACACACAAGCATGCATGCAAACAGACCAATGTACATACAGAGGCACATGTTGTGAAACCTCCAGCACGTTTTCTTTGCTTTCACGCTCACAGACTGTCCTGCTGTTCGGAGTGCTCTCCTCCCAACTTGCTCCCAATCCTTGTACCAGCTTCCTCCTCTTTCTCCTTTTCCTCTTCTTCCTCCCTTTTATTCCTCCTCCTTCTCCTCCTCCTCCTCCTCCTCCTCCTCTACCTCCTCCGCTTCCTCCTCCTCCTCCTCCTCCTCCTCCTCTTCCTGCTCTTCTTCCCCTCCTCCTCCTCCTTTTCTTTCTCTTTCTTCTCCTCTTCCTCCTCCTTTCCCCCATCTCCTCCTCCTCCTCTTCCCTCTCCTCCTCCTTTTCTTTCTCTTCCTCCTCTTCCTCCTCCTTCTTCTCCTTCTCCTCTTCCTATTCATTTCCTCCTCCTTCTCTTTCTCATCTTCCTCCTCCTTTTTTACCTTCTCTTCCTCCTCCTCCCTTTCCTTCCTCCTCCTCTTCTTTTTCCATCTCCTTTTCTCCTCCATCTCCTTCCTTTCTTCCTTTTCTTCTGCTTCTGTTTTGGGGCCACACCCTGTGCTGCTCAGAGCTTATTTCTGACTCTGTGCTCAGAGAATCACTCCTGGCAGTGCTTACCACATCATAAGTGCATTAACCCCTGTACTATCTCTCCAGCCCTGTCTGAGTGTTTCTTTCGAGATTCTAGTTGGAATGGGAATCTGAGGTCACACGGGTATATGCATCACCCTGGGAAGCCTCCAGTGAAGGTTCCATGCATTGTGGGGAGTGTCACAGCCCTAAAGACACAGGCTGAGGATTCATACCTGCCACAACGGCACAGGGGGACATAACCTCGGTGGACCAGAAGGATTTTCCGAAGGAGCGTGAATCCTGTCCCAAGGATACTATTCTCTGCACTAGCTTGGAGCAGGCTGATCCTCGCCCTTCCAGTGAGACCCCTGCACCTGCCCCACCTCAAAGCATTCCACTCCATCACAGGATGGCACTGACAGAAGAGAACCAGCCCGTAGCACAGCCTGTGCTGGTCCATTGCCACGTGACATGGGTCACCCAGAGGAGGCCCCTAGTCTCCCTCCAGTCACGTTCCTCCCACACGGACGTCATTCTCATCTCCCTCTCATTAAAAAGCTGCAGAGGCTTAAAGAGACTAATCACAGGGATAGTCAGGGTCCCAGAGAACCGCCAAGAGTGTCAATTTTCTACTGGAAACATCTGGCAGGAATAAAAGCCTCAAATAAGACACACTTTATTTGTAGCTGAATGACTCACCAGGGCCCTCCCCTTCCTCCCTTTCCCCTGCTCCCTTCCCTTCATCCCCTCCCCGGTCCCCCTCCCCCCACTTCTATTCCAGCTCCAGGATAAAGAGACAAGAGACAGAGACAGAGACAGAGCATAAGCAAAGGGCGACATGCAGGTTGGGCTGAGGAGACCTCACATCACAGGGTGGGTGTACAGGTGAGAGGTGGGTCTGACAGAAGTGCCCAGACTTGGGCCTGGAAGTGCCCATTAGTGCTGCCAGCAGAGAGAAATTAGACTTCCACAAGTGCAAGCTTCTGGGGAGCAAGGGTTCTACTAGGGACACGTTTAATCTGCGTTGGGAGAACAGAGCTGGGCCCGGGGTCCGAGGGAGCCCTGTGAGCTGCTTTCTGGCGTTAGGTCAGAAGAGACAGAGGCGTGCCCACCCCAGGCAGGCAGCAGCTGCCTTGGAACCGAGTATACCAACCTTTCCAAGGGGTCAGAGCTGTGGTTTTCACTTCTACGAGAAATTAAACACAAATCACTGTTAATGAAGAAAGCGGTAGGAGGTGCTCTCTGCCCTCCATGGATGGTTCGGGAGCCCTCCAGAGCCCTCTTCCAAGTGCCTCCCCTCACGGCCAGACCTCAGCCCAGTCCTTAAATGCGCAACCTCGGCTCAGCTCGAAGTCCTCCAGCCTGCAGCCCTATGCCCTCCACTGTGCGGGGGAAGCCGCTGCTGCCAGAGCTGATGCTTGGTGGCCAGGTGGCATCACCCATCCAAGGGAGGCTCATTCCTGGGACCCAGACACAATTCAGCCCCAGGTCCCAAGCCTCTGAGCCAGACTATCTCTGCTTGAGTTGAGGTGTGAAGGTCTAAGGTATAAAATGAGCTGAGACCAGGAAGCTATTCCTCAGTAATTGCAATCGCTCCTGCTGTGCCGGGCGATTCTCAACCACTGATGAGAAAGAGTAAATGCACCAGAGGAGCTCACACCTTTGCCCCTTGGATGAGTCAGAAGATGGAAAAACTGGAAGAGGCTCTAGTCGGATGCCTGGAACAGGAGACCTGACTTGGGGCTATGAGCCTTGTGTTGCAGGGACCCACCTGTGCAGTGGGGTCTGCACCAGGGGACCCCACCCTGTTCCCACTTGGAGGTCTCAGAACTATCTCTGCACTGGCATGATTGGCCAATGCCTCCTCATCTTTGAATGGAGCTGGAGGTCAAGCAGGTGGAAATCTCTCACAGTGCATTTGTTTATCAGATCCCAGGAGGTGCATGCCAAAGAGCTAACACTTTTGTCAATTTCAACTTTTAAAAAACCTGAAAAAGGGATGGACATGGACACCTGCAGTGAAGTGATTTGATTCTCTGTGCAAAGATGCTCGCAACCTGAAGGAGAGTCACTTTAGATATGACTCAGCCTAATGTCAACCAAGATATTTGAGCAAAATAGCTATATGCTTAGGAATGCAAGACCTCAATTTTCTCTTTAAAAGCATGTTTTGATGAAACATGAAGATGAAACAAGAAAGATGCTCTCTGTGTGTGTGTCTCTGTTTATCTCTGTCTCTGTCTCTCCCTCTGTAGGTGACTCTGAAATCCACTAGGAAGATTTAAAGATGGACGAGGTAATCTAGAATCAGACTGTTTGAGGTCAAACCAAGATGACAGAAATAAGCCAGGAACCAGGTTGCCTGTGTTTTGGGGGAGAAAAGTCCCTTGGAGGATTGTAGAGCTCTGGAAACCAGCCCCACAGTGAAGGAGGGACTGTCTTCTAAATGCGGGAACCCTGTTGAGTCTTTCTCAACAAAGGAGGGTAGCTGGAAGAAGCAAAGAGCTTGGAGAGAGATACTGGATGCTAAATGGATAAAGTGCTTATAGCTTATAGACCCTTCACTCTGAAATAACAACAGGGTGCATCTGGGGTCAGTGGGCTGAAAAGAGATGGGAATGTTGGCTTTGCATCTCTGCTGGAGAAAGGAAGCAGGGGAGGGCTCTATTTGAGAGTTGGGCTTATCAGAATAACAATATTGAACATTGAACTGCTCCTTTCCAGTGGTGTGCCCAAATCTCTCTCTCTCTCTTTCTCTGTCTCTCTGTCTCTGCCTCTGTCTCTCTCTCTCTTTCTCACACACACACACACACACACACACACACTCACAAACACACACACACAGCTAGAAGACTGGCACTCATCCTTGGATCTTGCTAGAATGTTTTCTTGAGCTTTCTTAGACAGGAGTGCTCCAGGTCTTCTAGGAGTAGGACTGTCTTTCTTGCCCCCTGGAGGGGGTGATGTAGCCAAGCTCTGACCTCTGTTGTCCCTTCCTGCAGTACTCCAGCCCATTCCCTTTGACTCGGTTCTATGGAGAGAAGGAAGTAAGTATGTTTGTAGGACCCTCTGGACCCTAGATGAAGTGTCATCTGGGATCTGGATGGGCCTGGCTTGAGCCTTCTCAGAGAGGCTTATCCAGGTCATTCACACTTGGATAAATCCTTGGTATCAAGGAAACAAGCAAACCTGCTTCCAGGTCCGCAAGCAAATATTTTTAGTCAATCCGTCAACTGAACTGTCAGCTGCCAAAGCCAAAGCATGTGGCTGAATCCAAGTACCCAGGTAAACACAGGGATGCTGCCTGATTCTAGTGAGCAGAGGACTGGTTTTGTGTCAGGATGAACAGAATCCATACATGGGCAAGAAAGAGGGTGCAAAAAGAAATTTTGTACACCTCTGTCATTCAGACACATGCACTGTAGAAATGCTAACTGCTGGATGACGGGGGCTAATTCCTTAATCCTCTGCAAGGGAAAACTGCTCCTCTTTCCTCTGGCAAGTTTTTCCTTCTGACACACAGTTTGCTTTAGTCTCCGATTAATAAGTTGGCTTGATGAGCCTGGCAAGGTTCACCGACATTAATCAGGCAACCTTTCCCAACCCACTGATAGCATCAACTCTGATTTTATGCTGCAGAGATAAAGGACAAAGGTCAAGGGGCTGGGAAATGAACAGCCTCTGAGCCGCTGAGTTTGCAGTGTGGGCCCTGGCCTGCTCTCCCAGAAGTTTTTGTGAGTGATGGTGGTACATCCCTGACTCCTTATTCATCATCACAGGAGCCTGGAACCAACAAATATTAATCCAAAAGGATGGCATGTAATCTGTTGTGTGGGGAGAAACACTTCAAAGGTGGCAGAAAATGCTGAGGAAGAACGAAATTTTCTTGCCAGAGACATTCTTGTCCATTCAGATACGGGGTAGCAAAAGAGTTTTGTACTTCTCTTAAAGCCAAGGGAATGCTGTCTATGGAAATTGTGTGTGAAATAAATTGTTGCTGGGTATTTCCAAGATGACCTGAGCATGGACTGGGAGTAGTCCTTGGGAAGAAAGCTAGCTCTCTAGTCCATTGGAGATTTGCAAAGAAGTAGAGAAGAAAAAAATATTATAGATGAGTGAGGAATGGGCCTCAAATGCAATGTCTAGCATGGCTCCCATATTCTTGATATGTACAAAAAGAATTATTCGTTCCGTAAAAAACTTTACCGATGGGCTTCAGGATACTTTAGATGTCTACATGCTATAACCTTTACACTCAACAAGGAAGAAGGGATGAGATGGATTTCCTGCTCTCTGAAAGCACTTCCTCTAAAATTCATTCCTTCAACTTCTTCCCCAACCTCCTGAGACTATTACTGTTCTTCTTATAATAACTTTCTCAGCAGCCAGATGTAACTGGATGTCCACAGGATGGGTTTGAGGTCATTGGGGTGGGAAGTGGACACAGTCATTCCTTTCTTGTCCTTAGAGCTGCCTCTGGCTGGGCAGTTCTTCGGTTGGCATTGCCCTTTTGGAAAATTATTTACATGGCACATCCTTTATTCCTGCCACACTTTCTCAACCCACTTCCTTCCAAATGTTCAGTTATGGTCTTAATGGATTTCTCATGGACTTGGAAAAATGAGTGGTTTGTGCAGATGGAGGCCAGAGACCCAGGTGTGCTTGTGAGGAAGGGTATGAAGTAGGAGGACGGGAAGGAGGACAGAGATATGAGTCCATGCACCCCTGTGACATCACATGTGCTTCTCTTTCATCTGTGTCATGATTCAGACTTGCACATAAGAGTTGATAGACTAACAACAAGAAGCTTAGTAAATCCTCGGACGATGACTTTAATGACACCATTGTGAGATATAACAATTTCCACAATTTTTCTCTTACTGAACTATTTTTTATAATTCCATTTGCCATCTTGATGTAACAAACAAGCAATATAAAATAAACTATTCTGTGCCTGCTAAGGGGGTTGGCTTGAGGGGTGGGTGGAAAACTGAGGACACTGGTGGAGGGAAGGTCACACAGGTGGTGGGATTGGTGTCGGAAGACTGAATACCTGAAACAATTGTATTATAAACAACTTTGTAAATCTTGGCGTTTAAATGAAAAAAAAAAAGAGTTCTCAGTTGAACAATGTCAGCAGCAGGGTAGATGAGGCAGATCATGTGACCTACAGAAGAATTTATGTAAGTCTGAGTGACCTGGCCAAGAGTGGAGAACCATTCCATAGCAGCCTCTGCTCCAGGACTCCAGACATTGACCTCTGGACCTGTCTCCAGAGCCTTCTTTTTTGCTGCAGAGGAATTCTCAGCACTCAAGTCTTTCTGTACTTGGTGCTTAAGTCTGTGGCCTGGGGGATCATCAGGAGGGCTCTTATCATGAAAACCTGGCAGTGGGCCGGTCTTGTCTTCTTCTTGGCTCCAACCCTTCCCTCCACCTTTTGCCTCTACCCAAGATGTTGATGTTTCCTTGTTTTTCCCTTTCCTGTCCCTTCTAGCAATGATCAGAAAGAAAGTGAGCTTTGGAGTTTAGCCCATGTCCCAGAACAGCCCTATCCTCCCCCTACCACCCACGAAACAACTTTAGTAGTAGCCACTGGGGAAGGGGTGGGGAGAAGGTCTCAGGGAGGATAGGAAGGGGAGGAAACCGTAAGGTAAGAGGGATACTGACCTTGTAACAAAGTTGAGCTTGTGGGCTCATTTAGTTCTAAACCGGGTGGGGACACACAGGAGAGAAAAATGAAAACAAACACTTATTATATACAGCAGCTATATATCTCCCATATATAGTTTGTATACTGCCTCTCACAAACGTTTCTGGAGGAACGGATACATGAAGGATGACACACAAAACAAAGGGGTGAAACATATGTGGTGGGAGACATACCCAACGGTCTTTGGCTTCTGTGCTGAGGCAGTGGGCAGGAAGTAAGCCCTAGAGTCACTCTAGGACGAGTCCCAGACCGGGTAGATCGACTCTTAGCTCATGCTGAGCTTGGGTTCTGATGGGATCCCCAAGGACCAAGATGAGAGCTCTGTCTCCCACCTCCAGGAATTCCTGAATTCCTGATTTCATGGCCCCATGACAAGAACAAAATACCCAGAAGCACTGTGTTGAGGATGAGGGGAGCAGGTCCCTTTGAGTTCCCAATATCCCCAACAGACTCAGGTGCCCAGAGCACCACTGGACCCTGATAGGAAGGAACATCACAATGTTTGAGTCACCGTAAAGTTATTCACCTCCAAGAGAGTCTCCTAACACCAGCACACCCAGCTTTTCATTGTCAAGGTTAGGTGGATGGGGCAGTGTGAGGAGGCACATGCTGATAATGCAACTGGATTTCTGTGCTCTGGGGAAAGGAACCTCAAAGTGAAATTCATGGAACCCTTCTAGCTAAGGCTGCTGAACTACCTACCCCACAGGCTTCTTGTCTTTCCTGTATTATCTTCCATACATAGTTTGTATACTGCCTCTCACAAATGTTTCTGGAGGAACAGATGCAGGAAGGATGACACACGAAACAAAGGGGGTGAAATAGATGCGGTGGGAGATATACCCAACAACCTTTGGCTTCCGAGCTTGAGGAAGCAGGCAGGAAGTAAGCCTGAGGGTTACTTTGGGCCTTTGAAAATTAGGAAACAGCAAGGACAAACTGCTGTGAATTCATATTTGTGTAAAGGCCTAACTGCTGGTGAGTTTCAATCTTGAATCCAGGGGGGTGCAATAATGTCTGGACTTGTCCACTCACTGACTGGGTTACAAACACCCAATCCACACAGGAATGAGATTCCACCCAGCCAGAGATCTATGGCGTCTGTGTGGCCTTTCTATGACAAGGTCCACAGAAATGGGCGCTCTGTGAGACCAAAGTAGGAATTTGATTAAATGTAGAAAAATGCTCTCAGCCCTCCTGTTCCTCCCTCCTCAAGTTGTAGCATGTCAAGGTGTCATTGACCTGCATTGAGCGACCCCACACATGCAGTTTACCTTTCTGAACTTCTCTGAATGCTATCACTTCTTCATTTCGCAGAGAACCCTGTACCCCAGATGCTCATCATTGTAGCAATGCCGGAAAGACAGAGGGTGCACTGATGGGGGTGGGTGGGGAGGGGGCTCTGAATGCCACACACGGACCTCCAGATAAGATCCACTGATGCCACCCACCGACTTTGCTTTCATCATGCCAGCTCTATCACTCTTTAGTCTCCCTGTGCTCATGGCCAACTACCTCTCAGGGAAGAAGCGGAATAAAGTACTGACAAAATCTACTGCAAAACCGTTTTGTGCAGCCACATCAGAAAGGGGGGATATTTGCAGGACTGAGATGGCAGGGTGGGGAGGGCCACGGGGGTGCCTCCCATTTTCGAGGTAAGAGCAGAAGGGGGCCCTTCCTTTCCAAGCCTGACCCTTCTGTTCATGCAGACAGGTACCTGCCAAAAGGTAGAAGAGGTCTGACAGGCGTGAAGCAATTATGACCCTTTCTGTGAGAGAGGTGTCGGGCAGCTCCATCACTCCCTCTGCAGCTCTGCCTACTCTCAGAGACCCGCTGGGAGCCAGACCCACTTGCCCTCCCCTCTTGGGCATCTTCCGGAGCAGGGGGTGGACAGGGTGTGATTTGGAGTAAGGATGGGGTCATGGAGCAGCACACACAGATTTGGTGGGATGAGGGTGAGTGATCCTGCCACGGAGGGGAAGTGGCGGGACTTGGAAGATAGAAGACTGCTGGGCTTTCTCAGCATCAAAAGGATTTATGGTGTCTCGTTGAGGAAGCTAGGCACACTAAGTAGTGCATAGGGGCTATTTCTGGCTCTGTGCTCAGGAGTGGTCCTTGACAGTGCTCGGGGATGGAACGGAGTTGGCCACCTGCAAGGTTAAGCACCTTAACTAGCTCTCCGGGCCAGAATTTATGTTCTTGCCACTGCTCTGCTAGTTTTCCCATCACCTTGCTTCTCCCATCTCCCCCCACATTCCACATGTTAATGTGGGGTCAAGAGGTATACAGGTGCCTTTTCACCTGGGAGTCTGGGACACGAGCTTAAAAATTCCAAGAACCTGCTGAGGTAGGGGAGCATCTGCTCCCATAGCAACCATAAATTAAACTCACAGTCTGGAGGGAGATTTCTCATCTCCAGGGCCATATAGTGAAGCCTGGAGGCCAGTGTGATAACAAGCCCCCAGATCACCTTTGTGGGCTTGTCCTACTCCAGAAGTACGAGGTATCTGGTCTACCAGGGAACCCACTAATATACTTCCTTGTCTTCTGCAACCCAGACTGTAGTCCGATATGTAATGTGTGCCCAGCAAGTCACCTTGTTTGCCTTAATTTTTCAACAACTGTTGACTGCAGTGGTTAATACATGACCACATGATTGGTGACTGCTTGGTAAGACAAATACCTTTATCTCTTATCTTATAAACATCTTATCTCAGTAGGTCTCACACTTACTCTAGGCCATTAGCGCTTGAAGTATTTTCAGGTCGGTGGTGTGGGGGGGGGGGGAGCCACCAAGGTCATGCCCATGTTTTGCTGGCTCCCTGGGGCGTCTCATCAGGTAATGATGGTGGTTAGGTGGGGCATTCAGTGCCAGGGATTGAACTCAGGGCCTCATGAGTACTGAGAAGGTGCTTTAACTCTCTGCTTTGTGATAAATACCTAATCCAGCAAGGCTCTACCTTTTGACAGAGAGGTTAGGTTTGGGGATGACCCACTTTTCAAGTTCACTCTCCCTTAGAAGCTGATCTTATTAGGGACCCCAAGGCCCACGATGCTACGATGCTACTTTTATCAGTATAATTAAGTTTTTCTGATTGGGCGGGGCAGGCTATGCCAGGGATTGAACTCAGGGCCTCAAGAGTGTGGGGCAGGTGCTCTAACTCTCTAATTTGTGATAAATACCAAATTCAGCAAGGCTCTACCTTTTGACATAGAGGGTAGGTTTGGAGATGACCCACTTTCCAGGTTCACTCTCCCTTAGAAGCTGATATTATTAGGGACCCCAAGGCCCATGATGCTACTTTTATCAATATAATTCAGTTACTCTTAGTCTCTATGGGCAGAAAGAAAGTTTTAGAAATGATATCATTTTACCCTAATCTAGTGAACCAAGTGTTGAAACAGTTCATGTTCCTCTATGGGCCTTTTACAATCTCACCCAATTATTATCCCCATCGTTACTTTAGGAAGAAAAATGAAATGTCAGCCTGCCCACATCCTTTTCTCCCATTTCAAGATTTCTTCCCATGACAGGATGAAATGTGGGTTCATTTCATTTATTTTATTTTTCATTTTCTCCTACTCTCATCCACACCTACGTTCACACATTTAGTATGTAATTCAGTCCTACTGGATAGGTTCTCTTACTCCCAGTGCCACTTCTCACTCCACCCTCTCCAGCAAGCCCCTAGGCCCCTCTCCCCACCTCCTCCCTCTCCCCAGAGCCCTTCCCACTCTCTCCAGGCACCCAACTCGGGCTCAGTCTTACCAAAGAGTGTGATGCTGGCATTGGTGTGGCCCAGCTTGTTGGAGGCCACGCACGTGTAGTTCCCATAGTCATGTTCAGAGACATTGAAGAAGATAAGCTTCGAGAGGAAAGGCCTGTTTTCCACCTTGAGTCCTTTCTTTCCTTCTACCAGTCTGAGACAGTGAGAGAGACACACAAGGAAAGGAAGAAGGTTATAGAAGAAAGTAGACATTGGAACTCACATTCTTCTCCTTGACCCCTTCCTGATCACACTATTGGTGCCACTTTCTTACCAGGCTGCACCTTGAGTTCCCACCCAATGACATACCTACTTGACACAGAAGTGCTAGAGAGACAGTGTGTGTGTGTGTGTGTGTGTGTGTGTGTGTGTGTGTTTGCTTTGTAGGGAGTCATACCTACAAATGCTCCAAGCTTCCTCGCTCTGAGCTCAGGGACCACTTCTGGAAGGGCTCAGGGGACTGAATGGTATGCCTGGGATCAAATCCAGGTCCTTCATGTACAGGCCAGTGCCTTGCCCACTGTACTATCTTTCCAGTCCTACTCAACATGCATTTTAAACAAAATTATGCGTATATATAGGCTCACCATGAATTAAAAAGTTACAGATTTGATCATGATTGAATTCCAGTAGCACAATGTTCTTGCACCAGTCTCTTCATCAGTATCCACTTTCCTCCACCAATATCCCCAGTTTTCTTCTTGTCCTCCAACCTGCCTCTGTGGAAGGCACTTTCTATTTTTTTCCTCTCCCTTTAGACACTTTGCTTTACAATATTGCTACTTTTTAATAAGGTATCAGGTGAGCCACTTTACCTCCTTTCAGATCCCAGTCTACAGCCTCCTCCAGAGTAACCACTTCCCTCTAACATTGTCAGAGTAACCACTACCCTCTATCATTGTCTCTTCCCTGACCTGTCCCCCTCCCTCCACAGTGGCAAACTTCCTACTAAGGACTCGCTCTTTTGCTTCTTTTCTATTATCTTTGGACATTAATCATTCCTCTTCTATGATTCATTATATCCCACAAATGAAAAAGACCATTCTGTGTCTGTACCTCTGCCTCTGACTCATTTCACAGAGCATGTTACTCTCCAGATCCATCCATGAAACAGCAAACTTCATGACCTTCTCTTTTCTAATGGCTGCATAATATTCCATTGTGTGTGTGTACCCTAACTTCCTTATCCAGTTGTGACATTTCACAGATGTCTATCTCTTGATGCAGAAAATTAAGAATTCAAGGGGAGGGAAGAAGATAATGAAAAGTAATGAGTGAGCAGGCATCAGGGATTCAGTTATACCAGTGATATAAGTGAGAGGCAGAGCCATATATACAAAGCCCAGATTCAACATAACTGAAAACATGAGGTCTAAGCTGCAGCCACTGAAACTTGTAATGTCCCTGTCAAGTTGACAGAAATAGGTGGAGTGGGGGCCTGGCGAGAAGGGAATCTGAGAACACTGGTGGAGGGAAGTTGAAACTGGTAGAAAGAATGGGGTTGAATTATTGTATCTTAAAACTCAACTATCAGTAACATTGTAAGTCATGGCTCTTTAATAAAATTTAAAAAAATAATTTAAAAAATATGTCTGGAAGCCAAAGGCAGAATGTACCAGCTGTAATGTACACAGTGAACCAGGATGCTCACCCTTGGGGCCCCTGTGGGTTCAGGTGACTAGGAATATGGAGATGGTGATGTTCACCTTGACCATGACACTCAGACTTCAGACAGCAGAACCACTTGAGAGACTTAGAAGAACAATGCTTTTCAAGCATCTGGATAATAAGATTTTCTTTTAAGAACTTGAAGCACTCTATGATAATACCTATTCATTATTATTATTGTGATGAATGGAAATAAAAGAATCAGGCATCACTTTTATATTAGAGCATTCTGAGGAGCTCTGTCTAGACCAGTGTTCCTCAGCCTTTTATCCTGACCTCATTTCCTTTCTATGACACTCTGTCCTATCCATTGTCCCTTTAGTCTCATGCTGTGCCTCCCCCATGGATGCAATTTTTTCTCTGTGGCCCCTTGGAATAAGAAGCACTGGTCTAGGGAATCATAACAATTTTTCTGGAAGAGATGATCAATTTCTGAGATTGGATCTTCTGGGCCAGGTTAGCTGCCCCAAGCACTCTGTAAGGCAATCCGGTAGACCACAAGCGCTCATGGTGGTTGTAAGTGGCCCTAAAAATGCACCAGGTAGTGACCAGGACAAACAGAGGAGCAATGACCTGTGTCCATGCACAAATGGTGCGAGGAAGGAGGAAGAGCTGGAGTCCAGCCTCTGACTTCAGAAGGTGTGACATAAGATCCCCACTTTGGTCTCAAGCCAGTATGGAAATAACATAACCCTCTTTCTTCCTTTTAACAAGTCTGGTAGGTTCTTGCTCCCAGATTGGGCTTTAAGACAACCTTTTACTCTGCTGAAACTAAGCATGCTTGTTTGGCCAGTGCAGAATCTACGTACACCAGGAGAGAGAGACCCTGATGGTCCGGGATGAGGCCTGCTGAGGTGTGGAGGATGCCCCCCCCCCACCCGTTGCTGGGTCCCACAGGGTGCTGGAGGGGAGGCAAAGAAACCAGGTCTGAGAGGGCACCATCTCACCACAGGCTGGGTGCCAGCTGCACAGGAGGGCACGTGCTGGTACATGGGACCAGGAAAGTCCAGTGTGGGAAGTTCAGTCCGTTGGTGACAGAGCCAAGCTCTGTTTGTATTTGCACTATTCTCAGGGTAGAGTTCTGCTCTGCATTCCTGGGTCACCCCGTGTTCAGCGTGTTGAGCAGCAGCTTATTCTCTGTGGAGGTCACAAAGGTTCGCAAACTGGCAGAACTTCAGACAACCCTGATCCAGAGAGGAGGCCAGTTCTAGCTCCACTTTCATCAAAATCTGCAGGGGAACGAGAAGTGGCTCCGGGATTGGCCTCTTCCGCCTCTCCTTATTGCAGTTCCTCTAGGCATCTCCTCCCATCCCCAAGGTGGGGACGGTGACTTGGCCAGTGTACATCTATCCTTACAAGGCATGCTATGCCCACCCCAGAGAGATGCTCTTGGAGGGTGGGGTGGTTGGTGGGCAGAGGGTAGCCTCAACCCAGCCTCCAGTAGACCTCTGGAGACCCTCCAGGATCCCACTTGGGGACACTATCAGGGCTGGGAGTCGTTCACGGGAGAAGGCAGCTGTGAGTCAGATCTCTCCTCTGCCAAGGGGACATGCCTCCCTTCCACATGGCAGAGCGACATATCTTTAGGTAAAGGCCAGGTTCTGACAGCACTTTGCCGCTTAGTGCTATTGTCCTTGGCTGACCCCAGCACCCATGGTCATGTGTCCTGGCCCAGCATGTTTCCAGGTTTGGCCCTGACTCCCTGGAAAGTGGGATGGTGCTCACTGAGCCTGGTGCTCCCTCTTCTGACCATACACACCGTGACCTGAAGGAGGCATCCCGGACCAGAGCCCAGAGACACCTCCAGGGGCAGGAGAAACAGTACAGTGGTTCGGGCATTTGTCTTGCATGCAGCTCGCCCAGGGTTTGACCCCCAGTCCACAGAGCAGTTCCAGGAGTAATTCCTGAGTGCAGAGCCAGGAGTAACCCCTGAACATGGCTGTGTGTGGCCCCCCAAATAAAAAGACACTTCCAGACCTAGTTTCACTCCAATAGACTGCTTTGATTTGTGTCTCCCAGTCATTCACGTCTCTGGGAAATGAGTCTGGTTTGCAGTTGGTCTTCTCTGAGGCCTGCCTGGAAGAGGTGTCTGCCAGTGCTGGTGGCCCAGGGACCAGCAGCTACAAGATGTCCAGAGCACAGAGCCCTGCAAACAGAGACCTTCTGGGAAACAGCAGAGGAGCAGCATGAGGCAGATGGATGGCAAGAAGGAGCCCCACAGAGAGGATCCCAGCACAGCAGAACCCAGGACCCTGCAAGGCCCTGTCTTATGCCTGGGCTTTGCCTCCCAGGCAGAGAAGGGGCAGTAAAGCTCCCATGAACCCGCCATGTAGGCCACAGGTCTCCCCTTTGCTTGTGTTCCCTTGCCTGTCTGCAGCCCTCACACTGGCTTAGTGGGCATTTTTCTACCTGAAGAATGAGAAGGAGGGACGCAGCCGATGACTCGGGCAATGGATAATGGAAGGTCCAGGAATGAACCTGTCAGCTCCCTTGGTTTTTGTTTTAGTTTTTGATTTTTTCAAACAGTGACTCTTTAGACCTCAGCATTCACAAGTTGAAGGGGAAGTGCAAGGAGGAGGAGAGACAGGGTCCATGTTTATTGATTAGGGCACAATTAGTTCTCTTCTGCTTGATTTTGGACTCTTCAAAAGAGAGGCAGCCCCCTCGTATCTTGATGATTTGTCTTCTCTTTTTACAGCCTGTTATTTCTTCTGAAAAAGGGGCACAATGAATACAAGAGTCCAGGCTAAGAAGGTGCCCACTCTGCTTCTAATTTGGGAGAACTATGACTGGCCACAGTGAATCTCGTGACTCAGTGGTTCCAAACAAGGTGTTTGCTTTTTGGTCTAACTGGCCTCCTCTTCTTAGCTGTCTCTGAAGCTCTTCTTAGCTAAACAGGCAATGGGATGACTGCTGGCCTGGGTCCTCTCCCCGCCCCACCTCCCAGTATCCTTTCTTTGCTTTTTCTCTCTCAGTCTTTCCACCTCTATAGCTCCTTCCTCCTCCCCACCCTCACAGACCTCCAGGTTTACAACCCTCCCCCTTCCCAATTTTATGGCAGTGCTCTGGGCACAGGTTGTTTATTCATCGGTCACCCACCTTACAAGAGTTTTTGGTTGACAGTGATAATTTATCTTACTAGATGCTGAGCCTGTGTTGCCAAGTCATTCAGTAACTCCTGGCAATGTCAAAGCCTTCCATGGCTACAAAAATCTTGATACAGGAGGGGGAAGTCCCCCTCTTTTCCCTTGTGGTGGAAATTCCTTTGGGCACAGACTCAATGGGGTCACAGACTCTTTGATACACAGAATAGACTGCCTGAAACTCAGTGGGAGAAGTGACAGCTATCTGGTTAGTTGTTCCTGCACCAAGGAGCCTTCTGAAACAATCCAGAAAAGGTTCAAAACACTACCTCATGGTGTTTCACTAATAAAAATTTAAAAAAAAAACAGCTCCTCACAGAATACAGGACACTCTTGGCCAATAATACCTTCCCAGATCTCCCAATGTTCTTACTGGCCTTACTGCTGAAATTCAATTCTTTATAGGCCTGTGGATTTTCACTTGTTATTGTCACTGATTATCAGGGAAATGCAAATTCAAATCACAATGAAGTATCACCTCCAACAGTGAGAATGGTGTACAGCAACTCACAGGAAACAACAAAGTTTGGCAGATGTGGTAAAAAAAAAAAGGAACCCTCATTCATTGTTGATGGGAGTGATGTTTGGTCCAGAATCAGTATAGAATAATACAGAAACTTCTCCATGAAGTAAGAATAGAGCATCCACCTGACTTAGCAATTCCTCTTTTTGGAAGCATCTACCTCACGAACACAGAAAATATTAACTGAATAAATGTACAATTATGCTCACTGCAGCACTAAGTTGTACTTAATGTACTTAGCAGAGTCTAGAAACATCCACCAAACTTCCAGCCACAGATGAATGGAGAAAGAAGTTGTGTTCTAGCTACACAATGGAATACTATGCAGTGCTAAGAAAAGATGAACTCTTGGCTGGAGAGATGCTCACTGGACTGAGAGCATTTTTTTGTACACAGGAAGTCCATATTTGAGAGCCAGTGTCACATGGTTCTCCAAGGACCACCGGGGAATGACCTCCAAGTACTAAGTTGGAAATAGTAACTGAGCAGTGAGGGATAGCCTGATCCCTATGCACTCCCCACCCCCCAGGTAGAGATGAAATCTTGTACTTTGCTGCAACTTGGATGGAACTGGAAGAAATCACGTTAGGCTAAAAGAGTCATAGGGAGAAGCACAAATACAAGATGGTGTCACTCAACTGTGATATAAAGAGAAACAAAACAAGGGAATAGACAGTATCAAACAGTGACAAACCCTTGGTTCTGGATTATGAAAATGAAATCACCAAGTAGTGGGAAAGAAACGAAAAAACCAAGTAAGAAAAAAATACTGATTTCTTCTAGGCATGTTATAGTCAAGTGCTTGTTTTACAAAACAATGGTGGAGACAGAGCTGGGCTTCTTGGACCAGAGAGAGACTAGTTTTCTCCTGGTCACCCACGGTGGCAGGAGGCGCTCAGAAGGCTTTTTAAAAACTCATCCACAGTCATCTGAAACTTGGCAATTGTTTTCTTCATGGGGACAGGGGTGAGTGAAAGAGGACATGATTTTTCCTCTAAAACTTATTTTTTGCTAGCTCATCCTTGGTTTGCACAAAGACAAATCTTTGGTTATGGCACATCAGGGCAATATTTGGTTGACTATGTGTGTGTGAAATTGTCACCTCTACTCCCCCCCATGTTCAGTCTCCTCCCACCATCAAGAAGACCCCCTCCGGGGAGTTTTACCTTTTGTCATCCTTGTACCACTGGAATTCAGCAGAGGGGACTGCTGAGGCCTCGCATTGCAAAGTCCCCTTCTGCCCCACGGGGACTCCTGTGCCCTTAGCTTCTGAAATGTATGGTGGATCTGCAGAGAAACAACAATACATGGGCATTACCTACAAAGGACAAAAACATGAGGAGGCAGCTTTTCTCTCCCCTTTGATTGGCTGGGGCATGGAAATGAAACCAATCAGCGGTTGTTCCAAGAAGAAAGTGGGATCTCCTTTGTATGAATTATATCTGCCCCCTCTGTGCAAAGGGGGAAGGGCCAGGCATTCAGACCTCTTTCCTCTTTAAACATTTTAACTTTCATCGGACGATTTCTTCCACTCAACCCAACACCCCATGGTTGACAGGCAATACCTTTAATCAGTCTTATAGAATTTCTGCACACCAGTACTTGCCAGGGTATATAACCTCAAACTATTCTATTCCAATCAAAAGCTCAGCTTCAAGAAATAATATTCATGTAGAATTGCCTGAAGGATCTACAGATCAGTCATTGCAGGTCTTTGAAAATGGGTTCCTCAATCAAGTCAGACCAAAGGAGACCGAAATGCTTGGCCTACATTCATTTGAAGTCTTTACCAAACGACCCTGGGCATTCCAATAGTTTGAAATTTTTACCTTGAAGTGTATTATGAAAAATAACCATAATAAACTTATGCTCTATTACAGAAATATTGTACCATGATATTGACTATTTAAACTCCCTTATTTGTAGGGAATATGTTGAAAGACCACAGCAGAAAACTCAAAACATGGATAGCACTGAGTCCTCTATAGATTGTGTTTCTCCTATTTGATTTCCAAAGACTGTTTTTCTGTCTGTGCTTACCTGGGATCAAGTTTAATTTGTAAATTAGACACAGCAAGAGATTAAGAGCTAATAATACATTTGAGCAATTCTAACAATGTAATTCTTTTGATAAAACTTATGTAAATGTGAGGTCCCTCTTCTAATTTCTTCTTGTAAGTGGTATTTCTGAACTGTGATTGACTGCCATGAAAACCACAGAAAGAAAATCTGAAGACCAAAATGGCAATCATAGCTCAAAGTGTGTTGAAATCCTGAAGACAACTTTCTCTTGTCTCTCAGTAGCTGACCAAGTCATATTCCTTTCAGGCAGTTACTTTTTCTTTTATCTTCTGGACATAAACCTTAGAGCAGGTGACACTTTTCTCTTTGCTTTAACCCAAAGCTACACTCTGATCTGTGTCTAGTGACTTGATCGTGTGTATTTGATGTAGTTATCATTCATTTTCACTTATTTTTCAGAATAGGTTTTCATTTGCTTGCAATTCCTTGTGTTCTTTGGTTTTTCTCTGCAATTGGAAAGGAGGCTTTGATTTGATGTCTTTAGGGAATTACGATTTGGTAACAAGCACAGGTCAGGACAGGGAGATGTAAACTCAGAAAATTACATGAAGAGGGAAAGAAAATCTTGCAGAAAAGGGAGAGTTCCTTTTGATAGTTGGAAGACCTGCCTCTTCAAAACCAAGAGATGGTAGCATTTATCATTGGAAAATAGTGTTATCTGCTCAAAAACCTTGGCCCCTCTTTTCAAACCCCCCAATCCTGGGGATCCATACGCAGGCCTGGTGAGGATGACAGATGAGATTATACTCAGTCACCGAGGTGTGGTGGTGTGGCCAGGTTTTCTCTCATAATGCCGACTCCGTGTGGATATTCCTTTTCATGACTTCACAGTAGCCCCCTATGGTATTGAAATCTCCTTTCCAGGAGCAAGCATGTGCAAAAGTCATACATGCTTGATGGCTGTGCAAATCTCCCCCGAAACCCCTGCCTAGTGATTGTTTTCACTCAACACAATCTAGTTCCCCAAGGAGGAGCCTCCTCTGGAAGGTTACATTCTGTTCTCACTTGATTTTATGTTGTCCTAGTTTATTTCTGGTGGGTGATGACACTAGTTAGTGGGTGGAAGAGATTGGTAAGTCATTGATGGAAGGATTATTTCTATTCTCCCATGGATTTTCTAGTAAAATGTGAGGAAAAGTGAGTTGACATCACAATTGTTCATCAAAAAAGAAGCAGAATTTTAAATGGTTTGCAAATATCAGCCATATTGAACTAAAGAATTACATTCGCTAAAGGAAAGAGCAAGGGAAAAACAGTCAACTTTGTTGAGATTAGTGTGGATGGGTCATGCCAAAAGAACTCAGAGGTACTCCTTGATCATTGTTTGTTCTCTCAATGTTTTCCTCTCTATATGGACAGGAAGTGGAGAGAGAGAGAGAAGTTTGGGGACAATTTGAGAAAATGGGGGAAATATTGAGATCTGAGGGCTTAAGTCATACATTATATGCAGGGGGCCCCCGGTAACCACTCTCCGGCCCGTGGAGGTGGCCCGAGGATTGATCTGATGGTGCAAGGAGGGACCAACCGAATGAACACAAGACACAAGAGACAGAGTACAGTTTAGAAATAGAAAAAGAGAGAAAAAGGGACAGGCTTTATTGAGGGATACAGGCTGTTTATACAGGGTCTGGGCAGCTCAGTCAGGAGCAGAAGCAGTATAACCATATATGGTAAGGTCAGCAACAAGAGCTTTACCTAACATTCAAGGTAGACATTTGCACATCAAAGGGTCTTGTGGCAGTAGGTGCATCTTGAGCTTTACATTTGTATATCAAAGGGTCTTAGGGAGTAGATGCATCCTGGAGGTTACTATAGATAAGGCCAGATAAGCTGTCAGCCTGATGTGTGGCTATAGATCAGGTATTGGCTGAGATCAGGAAGTCCTGGGAGACTGTCACCAATGTCTGTCCCAAGCAGTTCCTAACATGGGAACCATGGCCAGGGTCTATGAGAGGGCTCTTGGCTTCCCACAATTATATATTTAATATCATTTTGTGGCCTTCCAGGAATCTAAGTAAACTTTGAGATTTTCTTAAAATTACTCTGAGCCGCATTGTTTCACTGACTATTTGGAATTTTTATTCTTGAATTCCGTGGGCCCACAGGTTTATCCATTTTTTTCAACGAGAACTCTTGTCTCTGAGCCCCATTTGGCCGAGGCTCTGATGGCCACCAACTGTGCATGGGCAGATGGGGCTGCCTGCGACTACTTACAATTCACGGTCACCTTCACTCTCCGGACCACCGGTGCAGCCACGTCGTTGGAGGCGCTGCACTCATAGTCCCCAGACTGCTCCCGGGTAATGCCCTGGATTTCCAGATATTCATCCTCACTCACAAAGCCCACGGCTGCAGAAAAAGGAGGAAAGAAAAAACATGGAGAAATTTAGAAAACCAAATCAGGGTGGGAAGATCTGCAGAGAATGGTGGCCCCAAGTTCAGATTCTTAGCCCTCCCGTTGATCGTCGATTTGCTCGAGTGGGCCCAGTAACGACTCCATTGGAGACTTTGTTGTTACTGTGTTTGGCATATCAAACACGTCACGGGGAGCTTGCCAGGCTCTGCCGTGCGGGCGAGATACTCTCGGTAGCTTGCCGGGCTCTCCGAGAGGGGCGGAGGAATCGAACTCGGGTTGGCCACGTTGGCTGCGTGCAAGGCAAATGCCCTACCGCTGTGCTATCGCTCCAGCCCATCTGAGCTAAATTTCCTTTCCCCACCTCCAGCCTCAACTTTTCCATAGCTCCCCAACAGACCCTGTGAAATGTTTGTTTCTGCCTGCATTGAGCATAGCATCTTGAGAACCACTACTCCAGGTAAGTGATTAATAATTCTGACATTTACACTGCCCACACCTTACCAAGCACCCGGGGCTCTGGGATCTGAGTGAGGCACCTCTGGGCAATATTAACTCTTCCCATCTCAGGGTATTATTTGGCCTGAACTGTGCAGTGAAGCACTGTTGCCTGCCATTCGGACCACAAATTTGTTAACACCTCTGCACTGGCAGTTATATATACACATTACACACACACACACATGCATAAACACACACACACACGCACACATATGTGCTCCCACACACGTGCAAGTAATGTAAAACTGGGGAATTCAACAAAGTATTTCAATCTCTAGTTTTAGATTTAGACAAGCCAAGGATCAGTTTCCTCCAATTTTGTCAACTAGACCTCTTGGGTTTAAAACAGTGAGGATAAAGCAATGACAGACAAGGTACACTTGGACCACAGTCAGCAAGATCTGGCTCCGAATTCTATGACTCAGTTTCTTTAGTGAGAAATTAAGAATAATAACATCTTCTCCCTACTAAACTTCCTGTCTGAGGTCTGGGCATGACCATTTACTTATGAAAGGACCATGACATCGAACCTTAGAAGTCTCCAGGCTCTCCAGTGTCACCTTGAGTTTCCCTTCCATGCAGAAGGATGATGGGGATAAAAAGAAATCTTTTGCTTCCCTGGAATATGATTTTTTATGTGAAATGAAAATAATTCTAAGAAGTTATATTTATGATCTAAACCTGTTTACGTTTTAGGGGGTCTCCCAAGCAGTGCTTGGGAGCTCTGAGGCTCTCCTAGCAATACCGAAATGGATCAGTGCTTGGGCATGATGTATTACTGTTTATTTTAGTACAGTGATGCTAAGGGACAACTCAGTTACCTGACAGTGCTTGGAGACCATCACAACATACTCAGTGAGGCTTGAGGTCTCCAGGGCTACACCCAGGAGTACATGGGGCTTGGGGGTTACCAGGGATCAAACTTGGATCTGTGTGCATGCCAACCGTGTGCCTCTGATCACTGAGCTCACTCTCAGTCCCAAATTAGGGCACTTCGGAGTAAACGTGGTGCTGGTAATAATTTTTCTGGAATTATTTCAACTCAAGCCTGAGTTGAAATTATCCCTGACTACAGAGAGACATATTTGAAAAATATATCTGATTCTAATCCCCCACAGGGGTGTTCAGAATAACAAATGAAACCGTGGGCTTGAAAACTGAGAGAAGAGGTGCATGAAAGTGCTTTGAAAACTCCCGGGTGCTGGCTGCCTGATGCTTTCGAGACTAATCCTCTGATCTGGCCCGGAGGCCCAGATGCTGGTGGATGGAAGCTATGATAACATGGGGGCCCTGGAATGGGAAGCCAGACCATTTCTCTCAGCGACAAAACCTCTGTAACACGGCCTGGATCTGCTGATGCGAAGCATAAAAATGACAAAAGTAAGCAACAAACACAGGCCTGAGAATAATGCCTATGGTACGTAAGTTATGGTTGTATTGGTTCTGCCACGCTGTTAAGGGCGAGTTTTTGTCCGGGTAACGACAGCTGCAGGAACAATGACAACCATCATAAAACAACAGTTTTGAAAGGAGAGAAACTACCAGTTCCACGCCACGATTGTGTTAAGTCTTTGTTTCCATCAAATCATAAATGGCACCAACCTGTGTGCTTCCTTGAACTGCTTCTGCCTTACAGAGCTTATATTCTTTTCTATCTAGAAACCCTCTACCTCTATTTCCTGCTGAAGAACAAAAGATGGGCTAACAAGTTAAGTTCTCAAGGAGAACCAGGAGCAGGTTTCGAAGAAAAAAAAAGGGTTAGAAAGTCCACTAATATTAACCTACGTTGATGGATAGATATAACCAGAAAGAAGCTTCTGTTTTTTGCCCTTTCTGTTTTCTTTTTTAGCTGTTTGGATCACACCTGGTGATGCTCAGGGGTCACTACTGGCTCTGTGTTCAAGAATCACTCCTGGTGGTACTCAGAGGGACCATTTAGGATGTCAGGGATTGAGCCAGGTTGGCAGCATGCAAGGCAAACTCCCTACCCACTGTACTGTCGCTCCAGCCCCCAATTTGTTGCCTTTCTGATGATGGTTCTCCAAGTATCTTTCTGCAGGTGGGGGACGATCTTTCTGTGGGCGGGGGAGGAAGAGTGGATGAAATGCCAAGAAATGGTTTCAATGAGGAATTTGTGATTCCATTTGTGTTGTCATTGTTTATTTCCTACCAACCCCAAGTCGACATTTGTCAGATCTGTCTTTGATCAAATGCTATAATTACCATGCAAAGCATCTCAGAGACCAGTGTCACACTTAATATTCCCATTAATTTTAAATGGTGGTCCTTCATACATATGTGTGGCAATTGGTGTCATCTTTTAATTAAACTTGCCCTACACCATCTGAAATTAATAATAGCTTGAATTACCAGTGTAATTTATAAATTAACAGTGCCGTAGCATTAGGAAATAAATTAGCTCTGGACAGCTGTTTCTGGATTGAGTCCGGGATAGAGACAGTGACTGGTAGAACCTCAGCTCTCCTAGAAGCTGCCACTGGCACCATCAACATAGAGACAAAAAAAAAAAAACCTGAGCTTTTCTGTCTTTCTTTCTTTTTCCCCTACTTTGTATCCATTTCATTCTACCATAGTACATGCAATTTGGGATGGGGTGGGGTAGAGGTGAGGGGAGGTTACAATCATATTTATGAGGACCAGACTTTTGTGAGTTTGTTACATGGTTGTCAAAGTAAAGAAGCAGGTTGGAACCCATTTCTGCACAGGCATAAATGCAAGTACAAACATATTTGGCTGATTATGGTCAATAATCCATTACACAAAGAGTGAATAAAAAGGTGAAGGCATGTACCTTGCATGCAGTCAACTGTGGTTTGATACCCAGCCCTGTATATTCCCCTGAACAACACTGGAAGGCCTTAGAGCACTGCTGGCTTTGGGCCTGGAGTCTCTGAGCACCATCGAGATGACCCGGGCACCATTGGGTTGGCCCCCGGCAATCTCCAGCACCACAGGACCTAAGCAACATGGCGACCTCAGGCCCTCACATTGAGCTGCCCACCCAACTGGCTGAGAATTGTCATAGGTCGCCCAGATCCCCTGAGCTCCACTTCCCTTCCCATAGAAAAACACATTAAGTTTTCTGGGTAGGCATGGATATTTGCGTAGGTATAAATGTATCCATCAGTAGCATGTGATCTTACATGAGGATGGAAGTTGGGTAACTTAAGATTTAGAGAAAGAGTTTGTTTTTTATTGATCCAGATTTCTATCATCAAAGAGAGAGGATTTATACTTAAGTCATCTTTCAAAAAAAGCAAAGGCTTTCTGGGAATGTAGCTCGGCAAGAGAGCACACTTGCCTTGCATGTTTTAGAGCTAAGTTGAGAGCTAAGTTTGATGTCCACCTCCCGACACACACATGCTACACAGTGGCTTAATTTGACCATCATGTCCCCCAGACAAAATACAGAATTTTAAAGAACCAGATATTATTCCACTCTTCATATCCTGTAATACGTACACATCCTGACACTACTGGGGAAAGCATCTGAAAAATAATTTTCATGCATTAAGATATTTTATAAATTTTACCTTTCTTTGTCATTTATTGCTAGGTTTTCACATGACAAAACCAGACAGCAAGACCATCAATATTGACATAAGCAATTAAACTTTGAGCCACCAATAATGAGATTCCATAGGTATTGCTTAAAACAAATAAACCCCCTAAATCCCACTAAACTGAAATCTGAATTTCTGGAGTTAATGATCCAAGTAGAGGATTCCCTGAATAGCATCTGTGCACTGGCTATCAAGTGAGCGGTGCTAAGTCATTAATAGGAAGAGCAGAAGAAGAAGAAAAAAAGAAAAGATGAAAACTTATTTTACAAAATGCTAAGGAATATGTTCTGGGGGAGAGATTGCCAGTGGGAGGGGGGTGGGAAATCACTTGATATAGCTTCTGAAAAGAAACTCTTCCTGGCTATTGCTTATAAAACTGCTCCTGCCTTTTCCAAAGGAACATTCCTGGGTGGGAATGGCACACTCTTTTTCCTAAAACACCCCCTTGGTTATGGCATACCTCCAAGATACTGAAAGTGGCTTCCTGTTCAGTGGAACATAAAACATGAGCCCACTCTCTTCTCCAAGCCCTTCATAAAGTAGTCCAGGACTACCTGCCACTAGAGTCTTTGCCATAGCTCACTGTGGCAAAAAGAAGGAGGGATCCAAGAAAGCCCAGCCTATAAGCTTCATGATGAGAAGTCCTCTACCTGTTCTGTACCAATAATGCTTCCTCTGCCCAACTCAAAAACTAGTTCTCCCAGGATGCAAGGCATCATCCTGTGCAGTGTGAGTGGGGAGCTATATCCAGGCACAGAGTACTTTTAGAGAGTGAGCTTCTCCAACCACTGGTACAGTCACGACTTTGGCTACTTCATCTTGGACACATGCTTCTTCTAGTTTCCTTCTCGCATGCAGAAAAGCCATGTTCTTTCTGTCTCCCTCAGCAATGACCATCTTGCTCGCAAATT